TTGCCCTGGCTGTCGTAAACCACTTCCACGCTGTGCCCTCTGCTTAATGAACATGGGCACTCCTGTGTCCAGCTGCCCAGGTAACAGACGGATCATTTAAAGTTCTTCTTCAATTATGATACCATAATGTAAACATATTCAGTTCACTCGTCTCGTCCGTCTTATCAGGCACAGGAAAAGCAGATGAGAAAGCTGATCTCACACGAGACAAAAAACTCGCACAGTTCAATAACTGGTTCACCTGGTGCCACAACTGCCGGCATGGTGGTCACGCAGGTCACATGCTCAGCTGGTTTAGGTAAGAGTCATATTCACCCATATTGTGCCATTTATTCGATGACCTTATAAATACAAATACACTACTGTTCAAAAGTTTGGGTTTTTAAAAAGACAAATACTTTTATTCAAAAAGGATGCATTCAATTGATCAAAAGTGACAGTAAAGATATTTATAATGCTACAAAAGATTACGATTTCAAAAAAATGCTGTTCTTTTGAACTTTCTATTCATCAGAGAATCATGGAAAAAATGCATCACAGTTTAATATTTCATAATATTGCTGTTTTTACTGAATCAAATAAATGCAGCCTTAAAAGACATCTTTCAAAAACATTAAACATTTGAACGGTGGTTTATAGTATTAAGTATAACATTTTCTGTGCCATTATATTGTCTTTTCTTTCAGAGATCACAGTGAGTGTCCCGTGTCGGCGTGCACCTGTAAATGCATGCAGCTGGACACCACAGGCAACCTGGTGCCTTCTGATAGTGTATAAAGGCCTTTCTGCCTTTGTTTTCCAACTTAAATCTCCCAAATGACTAGAAACCAGCTACCAACATTAGTTCTGTAAGTGGTGATGGCGAAGTTCTCACAGTTTCAGAAGTTAATGACGAGCATATGTGTCTTTTCTGAAGTGATCTGCACACCTCACTGGTATTGAAGTTGGCGACAGGTGCTCTATTGTCACAGGAACTAAAGCAGTTACCCATAATTAAGTCACCCACCCGCGGGCAGTTGTGTGTCCTGAGACGTCCAACCTTCTCGAGAAGGAATCCATGTGAATGTCTGACCTATGCATTCGTGGTCCAGTAACAGGAGATTCTATGAATAAAACTATTTCAGTATCAACTTTAGAGACAGGGAAAGAGATACCACAATAATTTCAACCTGAGTAGTTTGAATGCATGTCAGGAATGTTTTGTTTATATCTTAGAAAGTGCTTTCACACGGTCCATAAATACTTCAACTATTTGCCTTTGAGTTTAGCGATTCATATTGTTTTATTATTATGTATTTATTGCATATTACTCCACACCATACTGAACCTCGGGTCAGCTGATGAAAATTTAATTTGTTCAGAGATCTACAATACAGTCAAATGATCTTCACTGGAAAGTGGTCAAATATCTATTCAGTTTGTTTTAAAAATTCCTTTTAACACATAACACAAAGTGATTTTTTTGCTGATTTTTGTTGTTTAAAATATGTAGGTTTAACATTACACTCTAAAAATGCTGGGTTAAATACAACCCAGTGCTGGGTAAAATAGGGACAGACCCAGCAATTGGGTTGTTTTGACCCAGCGGTTGGGTTACTACCCAGAAGGTTGGGTTAAACATTTAACCCAACCGCTGGCTCAAAACAACCTAATTGCTGGGTTTGTCCCTATTTTACCCAGCACTGGGTTGTATTTAACCCAGCATTTTTTAGAGTGTAGTTATGGCTAAGTGTTGCATTTTTGGATCCAAAGGTAATGCTGTTTTGTAGTGCTTACATTAATTTATTGCACAATCAATGCAAATTTAACATCTTAACTATTTAAATGATTGTGTCTGTATTTTTTTGAAAAGCAAAATGAACTTCCATTGAGGACTAATGTTATTAAAACATTTTTTGAAGGAGTTTTGAATGCAGTATTGTTTTTCCTTTATGCAACCATTTTGTTTGTTTCAATGAGATTAATACAGATTTTCAGTTTAGTGAACCACGATGAAGATATGCAATAGCAGAAATTAAGAGATAAACTGTTTAGATCAAGTTTAAAATCTTTACTTACTGCAAAAAATAAATACAAATGGTGTACGAACATGTCTGAGTCATAGTTCGCCCAGAAAAGCCTATCTTGGAACTATATTTTAGGACCATAAAAGTTTTTTTTGTGTTGTGACATTTTCATGACAATAAAGCCATTGAGTTTGTTGTGCTAA